TAGAACTTGTTTTCGTACTGGAAATATGTGGATTTTAAACACAATTCTACCGCCTCAATAAATTCTTTTTCGGGTAATTTTGTATGTTCTTTTATCTCTGCCCATTTATTTTTTATACAACTTATTGAGTAATCTATTGGAATATTTGTATATAATGATACAACATCCAGTGGTATTATCCGATGATTCTTTGGTATTTTTTGTTGTTTTATAAAATCACAAAAACTCCATGAGTCTTTAATGTAATATTGTGACTTTCCCAATACATTACTCAAAACTGCTGACAGATATTTAGATAATTGGTACGTTGGAGCATTTATGTTACTAACTATCGGTCGTAATGGAATGTTTTCCTTATAAAGTTTTGGTAGGCCATATATAAATGGTGCTCGGCCATTGTTGCAAGCTGGTGTTCGTTTCAAATTATCGATTATGAATTTCTTTTGATGCCATAAATTTATTATTTTATTCAGTTTTGTTTGTATATTGGTAGTAAGATCTTTTTTTTCCGGTTTATATGTTTTTATATCATTTATTAAGCCTAGCATTTCGTTTTGTATTCACTTTTTAACATAATTACAGTTTTGTTACATTTATCTGCTGTTAGTATGCAAATGTTTGTTTCATTTATCAGTCCATTAACATGACATGCCATACTTTTATTTGTGTTTTGTTTGACCTTTGAAATTTGTTAAGATGTTCCACAATTTATTTCTGATTGTCCTGACTAATCACGCCTAATTAATCTTAGAATGTTTTAAAGTGTTGCAATTGTGATGTATATTAGTGTGTGATATGATGAAGCTGTTGACGAACTGTGATTGTTTTTTAAATTAATGAAAACATTTTTTTACTATCTGTTATTTCAGACAAACTGATGATGGTGGAAAACACCGAAACGTATTTTAATTGATAAATAGACAATAAATGACTGAAACACAGTCAGGAAAGTATGTACAATGATTGGATTTTGTCTTAAATTTAATACTGGGCCCGACTTACCTTAATGCGTTTCGGATCGATTCTCCAAAGTTTTCCTATATTCTTTGCAGCGTCACTCTCATGATCCATAAGTCGGATGCTGGATATGTTTGAAACCACTTCATTGAACTCTGACCAGTCTAAAGAATGCGCATCCTAGAAAAGGCAGCAAAGAAGACAACATCAAAAAATTGTGCTCATTAATTGAAAATTGATTTTTAAGACTTACCAAATCTGTTAAAATATAGCTGTGGTAATCCTTGAGGAGCCCCACTTCTTTGGCTTGCCGGAAAATGTCTAATATACGATCAGCCTTACAGTCCAATATGAACCTCGTATCTAAGGTTTTTTTGATTTGTTTCAACACCGTCCTGCAAGCAAATGAAAAAGTGTGTTAACAGTGTTTCAGTTAATATTTTTTGTTTAGAAAGCCGCAGCAATAAAAAACCAGACCAAAATCACTCGCAATTGAAAAATCGATTAAAGGTTGATCAAAACACGCACAAAAGATACCGGCAGGAAAAGGCCCTTAAGCCCTCAGCTGGTAACAGTGAAAACAAATTTCTGGTGCTAAAACTAAATTCTAAATGATGATAAAATCAGGATAGAAAAATTGCTGAAGAAATCCGTTTGAGTTATTGAGGAAAATTGCTCCAAATGTGCTTACTAAACCTCCCAAAGGCTTTCAGTTTGAGAAGCATTCGTCTTCCTTGAAACATCGATTTTTCACCGCGCTGTCTTTATAATTCAAGTCTAGCAGACAGTTGCAAAATGGAAACTGTAACTGATTCCCCTGAAATGGGATAATTTCGCCTTCCCTCAAACGCAAATCGTTTATTCTGGTTAAGAAAAAACTGAGCAAATTCCCAAAAAAATATTGAAAATCTCACCGATAATCCGGCCCAGATCCTAAACAGATAAAGGCTATGGACAAATCGTTCGGTTTCCTCTGTTTGAGTGTCTCTCGGAGCCTCAAAAGACTGTCCTCGTTTTCGTACATGACTGTGTAGGTTTTCCAGTCGTTTTCCCGGACGAGGGCGGCCAAAGCGCGGGACAAAGCGTCCGAGTTCGGACGCAAGTTGAACACCGATGTGGCTGCTTCTTCTTGAGGATTCCAACTATTCTGGAAGTACGGGATTTGCAAGCTTGCAGCTACTGACTGGATGATTTCGTTGTTTTCTGGCGATTCTGGACCGAATATTGCACTCACTCCATTGCGAATCAGGTCGCACACTGGAGCATGAAGATCAAATGTTAAAAGCAATGCTCTCTTCACTGTTGGGGAAAATTTGTTACCGAATTGTCCAGCTTCAAAGGAGCTTTCTTTGCTCAA